TGGGCAAGCTGCTCCTGAGGCCCGCTGGGTGGTGACAGCAGAAAGCATCAGGAGACCTCATGGGAGAGAGGACTCCCTGTAAACAAGCCAGGGCCACCAAGGGCCACTGCCCCTCTGCTCCAGAACATCTGCTGGCAGGGCTCACCTGCCTTGGGCTGGGTTCAGCTAAGCAAAGAGGTGTTTCCTTATAGCTGCTCCAAGCACTCAGCTGGAGCCAGGAAAGAAACTGTAGGAAAAGAAAAGGAACACATGTGTCCTAGATAGCTGGGTGGAGAAGAACCTAGGCTGAATTTTGGAGCTGGAGCAGAAATGCGCAGGACCAATGCTTTTGTCTTCTCTCCATTTGCACTATTTTTAAGCATATGGTCCAGTGGCATCAGGTACAATCACGTTGTTGTGCAATCATCACCATCAACCATCTTCAGGACTTTTCATGTAAAAGTTGTAAAACTGAAACTCTGTACCCATTAAACACTAACTCCCCATTCCTGCCTCCTCCCCAGCCCCTGGGCACCACCATTCCACTTTCTGTCTCTGTGAATTCGATTACCCTGATTACCTCAGGTAAGAGGAATCGTGCAGTATTTGTTCTTTTGTGACTGTCTTACTTCACTTAGCATAATGGCCTCAGGGTTCATCCATATTGTAGCAGGTGTCAGAATGTCCTTCCTCTTAAAGGCTGAATAATATTCCATCGTGTGTACATACTACATTTTGTTTATCCATTCATCTGTTGATGTGCGCTTGATTGCTTCCACCTTTTGGCTGTTGTGAATAATGCTGCTGTGAACAGGGGTGTACAAATAATTCTTTGACTACCTGCTTTCCATTCTTTTGGGCATATACCCAAAAGGATTGCTAGATCATATGGTAATTGTATGTTTAATTTTTTGAGGGAACCCTTATGTTGATTTGTAGTTCCCTAATGATTAGTGATAGTGCCCATCTTTTTGTGTGCTTATTGACCATTTGTATATTTTCACTGGAGAAATGTCTATTTAAGTCCTTTGTCAATTTTTAAATCAAATTGTTTTTTAGTTGTTGAGTTGTAGGCATTATTTATAACCTGCATATTAACCCATTCCAATGCATCTTTAAGTATCTTCTGAGGCTGACGTGAGCAGGACGCCAGACCCATAAAGCAGTCACTCTCAACCCTCATGGGACATCAGAATCACCTAGGAGCTTAAAACTACTGATGTCCATGCCCTTGTTGGTTCTAAGATGCACCCAGAGTTGAAAACCAATGCTACTAAGTCTTGGTCCCTTGGGAGGCACTGCCCTCCACTGCTTCTTGCTGAGGAAGTGAGAGGAGATGGGGAAGAAGAATGACGGGTCCCACGGGGCACAACCCCAGCTAGAAGCTCTATGATGTCAGGGGTGCAGCATGGTAAGTGGGTAGGCAGCCCCCCCATCACATAGCGCCACCATCAGGGGCTCCATGTACATATCAGGAGGAAAAACCAACTGCTGTCTCCTAAGAAGGTGCAAGAGAGAAAGACTGGGAAGGGGCCCTCGAGCTGCCCAGCAGCCCATCAGGGAGAGTATGTGGCTCAGAGCCCTGGGTGAGGAGCTGGTTCTGCTCCAGTTCTGCCACCAGCAATCCCTGTGGCTTCGATCAGCCTGCTATCCTGTGCCTAAGAGCGCCCCTAAGAGAGGAAACTGGGCTTGTGCAGTGGTGTCCAACCCTGGCTGTATCTGGACTCACCTAAGAAGAATTAAAAAGACACTGACCCTCAGGCCCTTCTCCAGAGATTCTGATTTCAGTTGTTTTAGGTGAGGCCTGGGTGTTGCTATTTCATAAAGCTTCCAGGATTCTATGCAGGGTTGAGAGCCCTGGTCTAGTGGTCCTCCAAGTTCTCTCCTCGATGTGAACATTCCAAGGCTCTTCTGCTTCCATTTCTGGGGTGACAGGTGTGGCCTGAGCACTCACATGGCACTGAACACATCACACAGATGCCGCCCTGCTCCTCCCAGCCTATAGCAGCACTGACCTGATGCTCTCTGGAAAGGTTAAGACTTGAAAAAGAGACAGATTTTGACCTCCATTGACACTGGAGGGGGCCACCCTGACATATTCCTCACCCTCCAGAAAAACATTTTATTCTCAATCCAGTTGTGCACAACTTATAAGGTGAAGCACCTGCTGGAGACAAATTACTGCTGAGAGAAGAAAAGGCCAGGTGGCCAGCAGGCAGCCAGCTGGAATGGAAGGAAGAGTTTATAAGCTTCTATTAAGAGGCCAGTGCTGGGGCAGTCCCTGGGAAGAGGGGGTGGTGGTTCCAAGCTGGGGCAAGCAGGAGTGTGCATACTTTCAAAGGAGGCTTTGTTAGGGCTATAAGGGACACTCCATGGAGAACAGTGACTTAAGTGGTGACTGCCAGGAATTGGGGATCTGCAGAGTCTGTACCCCACAGGTGAGAGGGCAGCGAGAACTCACAGGTTGCCATTGGAAGGCCCACTAACTGGCTCATGCTTGGAGAGAAGGAACCAACCTGCAAACAAACAGAGCCAAGGAAATGTGTGCTGGCTTTAAGAAGCTACGCTGGCTGGCAGTGAGCTAGAAAGTTCTGTGACAGCCTCCCTCCCTGTTGCGTCTCTTGTCTCTATTTCCTATCCCTTCTCCTTAGCTCCCATTTTCAGTTACTCCCACTAACCCCTCTCTCTCTGGAGGTCTTACCCTGTGTGGATAAAGGGAAGGTTCCTGTGGCCAGGATTCTCACCTGGCCCTGGTCGGCTAGCTCACTACACACATGTGGGCAATACGTTGTTACTGACTCTATATAAAGAGCTCTTCCCAGTGCCCTGGGCAACACAGTGGCACAGATGCAAGGCTGCAGGAGAGCAGAGACTGGAGTGGTGGCAGTGCCGAGGACAGAGACTGAGACGGCTGCGGGGAAGGAGCGCCCAGAGGCAGAGACAGGCTTCCTGCAGGCCGACTCAATCTGAGTGGATGGGATTCTAGTGACTGACCTGCCACCGTGGGGCACCCCAAGAACTCATTTCTTTGGTCACATTGAATCCCTAGTGAACTTGCCTGGGGCTGAAACCCACTGGGCAAGACCCTGAATGCCTCCACTCCCGCCTCTGGGTCACAGAGCACTCCGCTGTCCTTCTCTGCCTTGGGTCTGCTCCTGCCCCGCTGACACGCCGGGGCCCTAGCCGTGTGGGGGCAGGGAGGGGAGGTACATTTCACCCATGTTCAGGCCTAGGTCAAGTCTCAGGATTTCTCTTGAAGGTAAGTCCTCTCTGTTTGGAACGACCCACACCTGGAGACCTATGACAAATTAGCCCTGTCCCAGCAAATGACCTGTTGTGTCTGGAGATGCGGTCTCTAGACTGGATTTGTGGGAGTTTACAGTTATTTAGCTGAATATCTGACAAATGATATAGTAACTATAACTTACTGTGACAACTAACATGTATTATGTGCCAGGCTCTGTTCTGAGTGTTCTGTACACATTCTCTCATCTACCCTCACAATTCTAACCTCTTTGCACCCCAGTTGCCCCCTGGTTAGACTTCAAACAGAAACATATTCCTGAGTTTCCCTGATCTCCTCTTCCGTAGTGGCTACTTCAAAGCAGCTGCATGCACAACTACAAATCCCACACTGCTTCCTGACGACGCAGTACCTCCCGAGCCCTTAGAGTAAAGGGGGAGAAGCAGGTAGGGGCTAGACAGGAAAGAAAACAAGAAAAAAAAGTAATGGGAGATGCACAGGCAAGTGTGCGCAGGAAGGACGATCAGGGGTTAGTTCCCATTCTACTCCTGTCGGAAAAAACCTAGGAAGCCCAGGGTAGAGTCAGCAGCACAAAAATGCAGCCTGCTATCGCCACCTGGTGGAAAAAAGGGGGGAAGTCGGGCTCTGGAGATGGACAGATGGAATTCTAGAAACAGGAATATTTCAAACATTTAATGTATCCCACCAGGAAGCCTGCAGCAGGTCTCCGTGGTGACCCTCATGTCCCTGCCTTCCAATAGAACTAGGTCCTTGCCCTCTTTCCATCCCATAAATGCCCAGCACAGGTCTTCATAGAAGGTGCCCCTGATGCAGATTACCTGACCAGTTACAAAAATAAGCTCAGAACAAAGAAAGCCTTGTGTGACTCTCTGGGCCTGTTGCCTCATGGTAAGGATAGTGACTTCAAGGCCCCTGCCCGCCTTGACTTCTGAAATTAGTGGTTCTCATGCCTGAGTGTGTACCGGAGTGCCCTGGGGGGCTGAAGACACAGACCCCGGGCCCCACCCAGCATTTCTGACCCAGCAGGTCTGGAATGGGCTCTGCAGATTTGCTTCTCTAAAAGCTGCCAGGATGCCGACACTGACACTCCAGAGGTACCCCCACCTTGGTGAATCACTGTTCTAAGTAGTACAATCTCCCTGGTGTGAGAAAAAAAGTGAGTAAGCAAGCAGAGGGCTTATATAAAATAAACAAATAAGGTGAGTTTATATAAGTAGGAGCCAAGGCTTGAATAGTTTGTCTCTCAAGGGCACGTGAGTGTCTGACGGGAGGGTCGAAGCCCATGAGGCTATTTCTCTGGGGTTTGCTCTGTGCCTCATGTCAGTGTGTCACGTGAGCACATGGGTGGGGGCTTGGGGGCCAGGGAGCCCAGGGCAGCTCTGGAGGAGAGAGCGGGCCAGCAGAGAGGCAAGGAGTCTAGGCTTTGGCTGAAGGTAGAAGGGGACTTCTCTGAACACAGGGTGGTGCAGAGGAGAGCTGGAAGAGACCCGAGAGGCCATCCCAAAACCTTCACTTTCAAGATGAAACTGACTCAGAAAGGTGAAATGACTTTTCCAAAGTCACACGGCTGCTTGGTGGCTCTTTCTCTTCAAGTTCCCCAACCCACTCTTTTCACAAGCAGGTTCCAGAGGAATCCCACGGGCCGGCACGCGGCCATGAGGCAGGTTGGTCCCACGGTGTTCCCCCGTTAGTGTGCCCAGCGCCCCCGTGGCCTCCTGGAGTGCGGATGCGTGCCCATCCCCTCCAGGCCCCCTACCTTTCACCAAGGGGAAGAAGCAGTCCATCTCCACGCTGCTCCGGGAATGGGAGATGCACAGGGCACTGCTGGGAACCAGGCCCTCCTGCGGGGGGCTCCGCTCCGTGGTGCGGACCAGACACCAGCCCGGCCGCTCGCCCGGCCGCTCCAGCAGCTCCACCGTCTGTCCCACCTGGATGGTCAGCTCACTGCTGTGGCTCGCGCTGAAGTCCTGGAGGACCACTGTCAGCTCACATCCCCCAGAGAGCTTGGGGGCGGGGGTGGGGTGGGGTCACACGTGAGGGATGGGGGAAGAAGATGGCAGAGAGAGGGTGAGTGTGAGCAGAAGGGAGGACGAGGAAAAAGGGAAAAGATGGGGTTCAGGGTAGCAAGAAGGCAGAAGACAGGAAAGAGAGTTGGGAACAGGAAAGAAAACAAGAAAAAAAAGTAATGAACACAGTGCCACTCAGTCAGTCGGGCGTCCTCGCTGCAGCCCGTCTGGAGCCCGCGCAGACCCGGCTTTCCCAGTCCTTGTTCTGTGGGAGTTCATCAGTCTCCTGGCAAGCTTCCAGCTGGCTGTGCCTGCAGCCTGTTCTCCAGTACGTGCCTTTTCTCCTTGCGAGGGCTCTAGAGCCCCATTCCCGCCCTCGAGACCAGTCCTCAGGTTCTTACTCTGCATCATTTCTAACTTGCTCAACTCTGACTTGATTCTAACTGATACCTGGGAATAATGGAAGAGACGACCTTCCCTGCTCCTAACCCCGGCAGCCTTCCCCACCCCACCCCCAGCTGAAGCCATTAGCTTCAACAGAGACTCCCAGGGACACACAAAAAAACTAGGTTTCAACTCAAAGGCAGAAGGAGAACCTTGTTTATCTGGAAGGGGAGTAACATTGTTTTACTTTAGCTCAGCCAGTGTGGCCCGGGGGACAGATGGGAAGGGAAGAAGGGGGGTCAGACCTTTCTTTAGGAACCATCCCTAGGGCTCCATCTGGCCCTCCCTCCAGGCCTGGGCACCTCCCCACTGCACTTGAGCCCGGGACAGAACCACTAAGGCTGGACACAGAGACCTGGAGATAATAACACCCTCTCCTAGCTCAATAGTGAGAGTTTACTTTTCACAAATAACCACTAGGTATCAATTTGTCTCAAAGAGCTAAGCACAAAAAAGCCTCCCTTGCAGAACAGCACCTGCACTTAGGGGCAAAGCAAGAGAAGAGAAGGGAAGGTGGGAGAGGGGGTGCTGCTCAGAGGCCAGCCTGTTTTCCTCCAAGGTTCAGCCCAGACAGCAGCTGAGCAGGAAAGCCCCTCTGCCAGCTCCAGGGAACTCGAGTTCAGTCTGTGCCTCTCTGATTTAAGCCTTCGGGGCTACATTATTTGCACCAGCAGCTGTACAAATGCAGTAGTCCAGATACGCTGTATAGCTCTTCACCTATGTTATGTGAATGGTGAACATGGTAACTGTCGCAGTAAGAGAGGGTCAATAGTCCAACCAGGACCAAGAGCTTAGCGTTCAGGGCTGTGAGAATTTTCTGCTAAAGGAACTTGAATGTCATAGTGGGCTTGAGAAAGGTACTTGATGGCTGCAGTACTATGTATCACCACCAATCAACAACCATTGGGCAGGGAGCCCACTCTCAACACATTTCCATGGACGGACATGGTGCTGTCGTTGAGATTAGATCAGGGAGAGAACTCTGTAGGACAGAAGGTGCAAGAGGGAGAGAGAGAAGAGAAGAAAACAGCATATGCTCCTTGGTTCATTTTCCATTTAACTTTCCTGGTCCCATGAAATGCACAGACCCCACTCCCCCACAGTCCTGAAGCACCATTTAGAGAAGGATGTCGGGGCACAGTGGTACCTCAAGCCTGTAGAGTGCCTTTACAGTGTGCAAAGTACCTGCACATTAATTATCCTCTTGGTCCTCTCAGTAGCCTGGTGATATTACCTCTCTATCTCTTGTATCAAGAAATTGAAGCTCAGATCAGTGACTGGAACATTGAGTGTTCATAAAAATCACCTAGGAAGCTTATTAGAAATGCAGATACCTTTGCTGGTCCCTCCCTAGTCACCAATTATGACTCCGAAGGTCTAGGGATGAGTATTCCAAGGACTTCCCTCAGCTCATGATTCAGAAAAGGGGATCCCTGGGATATGGTCTGAGAAACATTGGTTGCATGGTTTCCCAAGACACCCAGCGGGCTTGAACGCAGACCTGGCCTATGACCCCATGCTCCTGCAGCCGCATCCCAGGGCACCTCCCGTACAGACTTCTACAGCCTGTTTATGGCTGGCAGGGGTGGCTCCGCTCAGGGTATGCTTGGCCAACATCAGGTCTCTCAAACTGTTTGGATGGCATTTTGTATCTTGGGCTGTGTGTACTAGGTATGAATAGCTCTATCACTAAAACACAAATTTCACTCTGATATTCTACTTCTTTCTTTTTTCTTCTCAATTGTGGGTGGCATTCTACTTTCCATCCACTGGAATTTGGTGGAAATGGAATTTGTAGAAAGTGGGACTAGATGACCAGGAAATTTCCTTCTGAGTATCTCTGCCATCAAGCGTCTATGCTGCAGGGGCACTGCTCCTCTGTGCCAACCTCAGGTACTCTGAATTTTTTTTCAGGGTCAAGTGTGCACACAGCCTGAGGTACAGGCCTGAGGTAAAACCTGCAGCCCTTTCAGGAATGAGTGTGGCCCTTTTGCAGACTATTAAGGCAAGGCAGAGTGCCCCTGAGGCACCAGCTGCAAACAGCCCAGCTTGTCACAGATAGAGGACCCGCCGCCCCCCAGGGCAACTTACAGCCAGACCCACTTACAGGCAGGTGTGGGGCCCGCAGCTGAGGGTAAGAGAGGATTAAGGGCCAGGTTCTGTGCTTCTACAATTCAAAGATCTAGTTTTTTCTGAAGAGAAGCCTAGTAAACATTACTAGATGGTGGTGTTTGCCTCCTGTAGGCTGCCCAGTCCAGACAGACAGAGGAGGAAGTAGAAGAAAGATCATCAGTGGGCAATTTCTTTGGTGCGCACATTGTAGACCCAGCCAAAATGATCACGGTTCAAATAGAGGATGAATGTCCAGACTTACCTCACCTTAACGGCTTGGGCAGAGAGCTTTACTGTATCAGGGCCCCACCTCATGACGACACCAAGGGAATCCCAGAGCAGAGTGGCAGCCCAGGGGGTTTGGAGAACTGGATGAGGCACTGTCAGGCCTATCCCGGAGTCACAGGGAAGCTTTAGGGTGCCCAGCAGACTCAGGGTTCACACTCGATAAACACAGCTTCAGAGAATCCAGGACTGAAATCAGCACTGTAAAGTTCTAAGAGCTGTTCCCAGCAGGGGAGGGGTCGAGGGCAGAGGGGCCAAAACCTTTGAGGAATCTTGGCACACTTAACAGACTCGCGATCCTTAAAATAATTCATGCTTTGTGCTTGAAACCTTCTCCTGGACTGTGCTGAGTCATACCACCTGCTTAATGTTAATTGCACCAAGTGTGCTGCTCATTAACCAATAAAACCCAAATTCCCCCACAAATACTAAATTTTCAGTTTCTTAGGAATATACATGCGCACCATTTTCTCCTGGCCAGTTCTGGGGCGTGGCAGCTGACTTGGGTCCAGGACTGTATTCTCTCTCCTTCCTCTTTCCATTTTGGCAGCCATCCTGCCCTCACTGTTCTCCCCTTTGCAAGGACACGTTCAGAAAATTTCCCTTCTCTGCCTGAGCTAAATCTCTGGTCCCGGGGTTTTAAACAGGCTTTGTCCAACAACCTGTTATGGAAGATGCTGCAAGCAGCATGTCTGTTTTCACCTATTCTTTTATACCCCACAGCCTTTAACAACTGTTTTAATGTCCTCCTTTACAAATCTTTAGATTTTTATTTTGTATTTCTGGCATATTTGTTTTCTAATTTTCCCTTTTAGGCCCACAGATTATTCTTCATGGTTACCTTCATTTTCGACCTTCCTTGTCAGAGACGACCTGCTTGCATTTTCTAATTTTTCTCATTATGTCAAAACCTTCCTGCTTCCCTGCATGGGAGGGAGACTCAATGCCACATATAAGCTGACTCTCAGTTGTTTCCCCGCCTGATTTCCTAACCACTGAGACACAGACGTGGAGCTGGAAAACCACTGCCGTGTGTCTGGCTTGCCTCCCCACTGGGCTGTCTATGAGCCACTTGATCCCTCCCCGTAGAGCCGTGCCCAGGTGCTCTCCATCTCGTCTCTTTCTACCACTTGCTAGCTTGTTAAAGATGACTAAAGATCTTGAATTGTCAATTCCTTGACCTTCCCTTCCTCCTGAGTGTGCCAAGCCTTCCCCCTAATCAGTCTCCGCTCTTACTTTTCTATCATCTTTCTCCCCTCCCTTGCCCCATTCTCCCATTTCATGGCTCCAAACTCTCATTATTTTTCTAATTTATCAGTTTCCTGGCCCCCTTTGCATGCTCTCACCACCTGCTCTTCCTCCTGCTGCCAGGGGTCTGCTGAAATTATCTCAGCCTCCCCCTCCTTGACCTTCAGCCTTCACTTTTAAGTTGTCCTGTGCAGATTTTGACTTACAGGCAGCTGGCTTACTTTCCTAGAATTTTAAGTCTCCTACTCACTACTGAGCTGACTCACACAAGTCTTCAAGAAAGTCAAGCCTGTAATCAGGTCCTTTCTTCCTTTAAATAATTCCTCAAGAGAAAAGCAGGTCCTGCTAAGTAGACCCGTTTTTATTGACCTAACTGTAAAATCTCTACTTTTCTCTCCTTTAGTAGGGTCCCTGCTTTCCCTAAGATGAACTGTCTAGTGGCCTTTTTTTTTTATTTTTCATGTGGTACATTTTATATTTGGGCCTCATCTATCAGCCCATCGGGTGTTCTCTCAGCAGTGTTCCATGTAACACGCACCCCCTGGCTGAAACCAGGCAGTGTGGTGGGAGGGTGTCCAGCTTGTCACCATCCCTGCGGTCAGAGGGGAGTCAATGGCATCAGGAAGGGCTCACACCCTGCTCAGAACCCCAAGGTGGCATCATATATTTACTGAATATTTTAAAACTGTCAGCTATGGATGCTTAACTTTCAAACTATTAATTCGATCCTACTCCAGATTCTAAGACCAAATTTATTTCCATCAGGCAAATGCTGGGAGCCTTGAGTTGGTAGCATGAAGCCAGCGTGTCTGAGTCTTCTCTGGCCTTGCGCCTGGCGTCGGAGGTCTTCCCGGATCTCGCTCCCACCCCAGCAAGAAGTCTGCGACTCTGCCCCTCGCCTGGAGCTT